GATTAAACTTAAAAATAAAAGTATCTATATTATGAAGCAATAATTTGAGCCAAAAAAATTATTAAAGAAATTATTTTAAAAACTAAAACTAAAAAAATATAATTGTTTTTTTAATATTTATTGTATGAAAAAAATTAAACAAAAATGTGGATTGACATGGAATTGAACCCCATACCTTTGGATGCAAAGTGACATCCACTGACATATGAGCCACCCTCCATATTGTTGAAATTAGTACAATTATATCTTAAAAGTTAATTATTATTTATTGTGTTTAAAAATTAAAAAGAGGAGTGTCTTGAAAGGGAATCGAATCTGAGCATCTTGAGATCGAGATGCTAATGCGTGACCACCCGATCTACACAGGGTTTTGCTAAATATTTCTATAAAACATATATATAATCCGTCCCTGGGTACGCCCCAACAAAATGGAGTAGCCGAAAAGAAAAATCGACATATTTTGGAGACTACAAGATCTCTTATGCTTCAAATGAATATTCTGAAAAAAAATTGGTCACATGGAGTTTTAGAAGCTGTGTACTTGATCAATAGGCTTTCAAATCGTGTAATCCATTTTCAATCACCGTTGGAAGTCTTAAAAGGGAGAAAGTCTGATGTGTCTCACCTTCGAGTATTTGGTTGTGTTTGTTATGTGCACCACCAGAGCTTGCATCATGATAAATTTGATCATCGTTCCATCCGATGCGTCTTCTTGGGATATTCTTCGACAAAAAAAATGATATACATGCTATGATCCCCAGTCCCAGAAGCTATTTGTACCACGAGATGTGAGATTTTTTTAGAATTAACCATATTTTTCGGTTCAAAGTTCGAACAAGGTTTTATCTCAGAGAGAGAATTTGAGCGATCTATTTCCGCTTCTCATTATATGGACATTTTCTTCTGATATTGCAAGCACTTGCAAAATTGAAACCACGGTATAGACTGGAGGTACACGAGAAACCGAACAGGATGAAGACAATTGGGACAACGGAAGTCCTTTATAGCCAATTGCTCACGATGTTCCAGAATATGTCAGTGATGTACCAGATACTTTCGAAAAGATTCTTAGAAGGTCAAATCGAACATTCAAAGCTCCAAAAAAATTAAAAGACTTCG